CAATTTTACTCATTCATTTGTTGGGGAACATCTTTTACAATCACAATGAACTTCTCAATGCTATATTTGTCTTCATTCGTAACATATGATTTTATTAGCAACGAAATAACGACGTGTAGAGGAGGAAAGTAAGCTTCCAACGCCATTTTACGAATGTGACCCTTTAGACTATCCAACATAAAATGTCCGTTCTTTCAAGTCAATTTGAACTGCAAACCAATGGTTGCTGGTACAATAAGGAATATAGAAATATCTACAATCCTTTCAAGGTTTACCAAACTTCAGAGTAGCCTCTCTCAAGTAATTAATCAGACTCTTACCAAAATTGAGCTCTTTACTAGGTTGCAATTGGCCATGTGTATTGACAACAAATTGACAGAAGTAAGTATCCAATATGCAACAATCTTGCTGAAATAGATTGAAAAATTTGAAAGTCTTTTCTCGTATTCGGTATAGGGTCTTGTTTATAATATGAAAAAATAAACTAATTAATATAAACTGAATTCTTGTGTAACATTATCGTAAAATCATTAAACTTGGATTATTTACACTCCTAGTAATCCAACTATCCTCATTCAAAAGGTCGATCAAATTTTGCTTGAACATCATAAAAATGCAAAGGTATAACTTCACTGCGCATACAACAAAATCAACACAAAGTTATATTTATGTAATAATATTATTTTTACATTCACATGTACTTGCAATTATATGTAATAATTTATCCAAAAGATGCAGTTTCCATCCATTTGTAAAGAGCCTTAACCTTCACGGGATCCACTTCTCGAGAAGGATTATAAACATTGATATACGACAACTTTCTCCTCTTTGCCAGGTCCTTGAAGGGAGAGAAAAATAAGCTTGCTTTTCTTTGGATGATACCCTCGTCCTTTTGGTAAATCAAATCCTATCTCCTCAATTTGTACATTGTCGCCTCTATGTTGCAAGTACCAACAATTAGAAATCTAAAATTTGTTTCATTTGGATGTAATGACATGAAGTTAAAACTTCAAATTATTTTTTACTTACCTTGATTTGATTTATTCGCATCTACCTCATGTTTTCAGGTGTCACAACGTTAGCGATGTCTTCTCATGCTCCTTCTCTACTATTGTTTCTTTTTTAACACCCTCTTCGACCATTTTTTTCCTTTTTTTGTTCCTTCATATCATTCCCCGATCTAACCTCAGCTCCATTCCCTCCTCCATTCTTTTCTCTGACCTTCTCCTCTAACTTTGGGTCCTCCTAGGACTCTTCTACCTTTCTTTTATCTGCAGGCATATTTGTCACGTCATCAAATCTAGACTCATTTTCTAGCCCACCCTTCGGTTCATGTTCTGGTACATAAGTTGCACTATTATTGGCACCATCAAATGCACTAGTCGTTGAATAGAATCGACCCGCCATGGCCAAATCAAACAACCATTCAACCTTTGTCTCCACTCGATCAAGTCGAGTTGATATGACTACTTGTAGCCTTCTCTCAAATTTTTCCATGTTCGTTCTCAATAAATCCACTATGTTGATATCATGAGATATCGGTGGTGGTTGAGATGCTCTAAAAGAGTGTTAGTGGAATACATGATGTGAAACACTCTAATCTACTTCTATGATCGGTTTCAACTTTTTCCAATAGACTTCTTCAAGTTCGGCTTTGGGAGAAATCAAGGTAGAATTAACCTCCAACTGCAAATATTAAATCATGCAAATCATTAGTCATTTACTAAACTAATTCCACTATTTGTTTACATTAAACTTAAAAATGGCAATTTTACCTCTTTCGATTTCAACACGTTCTCAATGGTGGCAGACGCTAACCATTTCGGCATTTTCCAAGCTATCATTCTTGGAATTATATCTAGATATTTCGTAGTAAACTTCATTCCCAAAGTTGGAATCGCTTTGAATGCCCAAATCTATGGCAAAACAAACATTATTAACTCACAACACAAATTTATATATAGAAAAATAATACAAGTCAAGTGTATTATTTATTCATACCATTATAGCGAGAGGAAAGCTCTGCAACAAATACCGACAATGTGACTCTTCTCTAACATCTGAACTTTTCAATTTACCTCCAATTTCACGTTTGAATATATTGATTGTATATTCATATGAAAATTTTCCCATGGATACGTCTCGAAACCTGTCTAGATCATTCACCAAGTCCAGCCACCATAAATCAATATAGGTATTTTTCTCTGTGGTTCACAGTACGTACTTCAAGATTATGATCAATTTCAACTTATACTTGTCGCTCTTTATTTTCTTGCAACTTACAAATGCATTGTAAGCATCTCCCTTTGTAATCTTCCCCTCACTTTTCTTAAAGTACTCTTTCACGATCTGACATTCCGCCCCAAGGTCTTATCTACGTTGTTATCATGACCCACATTTAACCAAAACAAATTCTTCCAACTCAAATCTTGCCCGTTTCTCTCCTATCTTAAACTATACTTCTTCTTTTTTGTTGATCTTCATCTTTCACAATAATAATCATTGTAATTGTAACGTCAACTTGAAAAATCTTCTCCATAGCACTGCAAATTATAAAACATGTACAAATATTAGAATAACTGATGACAGTAAAGCACATATTAACAAATATAAAAACTAGAAATATTAAAACAAGGTATATGTTACATACTTCTTTAAATCTCTCTGTTTTCCCCAAATGTGTTTTGGAAAAATAATAATTAATATTTTAATTAGTGAGTTTAGTATTGATTAAGCAAATTATCATGCCAAATTTCTTTGTCAATACGCTTTTCTATTTGCTTTAGTTGGATTTTATTTTTGTTTCGATTTACCTTTTTTTGTAACTTTTAACTTTTCCAATCTTTGAGAGTTGCAACAGCTGTTGAATTGTCAGCGCTTGAAAGTGTGTGTTACTGCTCTTGTTTGAAGATTTACTATCTCAACTATGTATTGTCCTTTTCAAATACATTACCAAAAATGTAATTCTCTTGCAACTACCTTTTTAAATTTCCTTTCTTGAATTATAGACTCTCTCACGTTGATGTGTTTATAAGAGCTTCTATTATGATCAAAATTAGTATATATTAGTATTGATTGTAAAGTATTTAGTTTTGTTACAGATCTTTCGACCAAAGATTACAACTATAATCAGAAATTCTCCCTCACAATTTCCAGCTCCACTCGAATGGTATTAATTTACTATAAATGACTGTTGCTTGTCTTTATCATTTGTTTATTTTCACAATTTTATCATCGTCTGCATATTTCAAAATTGTTCTGATATGCAATTGATTTTTGATAATTTCTTATTTTGATACTTGGAGACGATGGTTTAAAGAGTAGTTAACAGATTGGAAGTTCCTTGCTTTGATGATTTAAGTAAAAACTCAATATTTAGCTACAATGCAATTTTCTGGTACAAGTTAAACATTTGAATAATATAATATAAAAAATATATATTCAACTTCATCAATTAACAAACTTCAGACCTATATAATAGAGAGTAATATAATCAACTCGATTGAAAGCCAAAAAAAAAAAAAAAAAAACTAATTTCATTAGCTAATTAATCACACCCAATGTTCTACAAAAAAATAGTGTTAAAACTTTCACAAATTATCATCAATTCATAAATTAGCATACATATATATAAATAAACTTGTTCAAGGCAGAAAAGGATCAGAGAGAGTCGACAAACTTGTTCATAATAGAGAAAGTTAGAGATGGAGAGACGAAAAATTTGTTGAAGTGTATGGCGTGAGAAATTGTGAAATTTTGACGGAGAAGGAAAAGGAGAAGAGATGGCTTTAGACTTGAAGGAGAAGAGTTAAGCCCCTGTTTGGCCCCCATTATTTGAATTAATAATGGGGGGAATAGTATTTGTTTGAAAATTGTGTGGTTGAAAAATTTTCGATTTGAGTGTAATATTATTTTATTGAAGATTGTGTGGTTGAAAGTAGGAAAGAGAAAAAATTAAATTAAATTAAAGAGTTTTTAAGGGGGCCAAACGGGGGCTAAATGTCGAAAGAGGTGAATTGAAAGAAGAAGAGGGTTTTGAATTTAAAGGGGAAAAGATTTGGGGAGGTTTTCTAAAAAAGGTTGAACCCCAATCTTAAGGGTCCCCCACCGCCCCTGCCCTAGAGCATTGTGAGGGAGGTAAATCGCAAGTTATGCCTCCAATGGTATATGGTGAAAGGTTGCTTGTACACTTGCACTTACCCAAGAGTCAAATCCATATTTCAGGATTCGAACCCTTGACGCAGTAGTTTCAAGCAAAGTTGAATTTCTCCACCCTCCCCTTTTATTACTTGGAGATGTGCCCTGGGGGCATTTGGGGAGGTTTTCTATTTTCACGTGTGAATGAATGAAAAGATAATCCTCAATTCTTCTTCAATCTTATTTTACAACATAAGGGTAAAAGGGTCTTTTGACAATTTTAAATAATTAAAAAAAAAATTATCTAGATAACCCATCTCCCCCCAAAAAATAAGGGTTTGTCATATTTTGTTTTTTAATTTTATTTTTGCTTACGGGTTGTCGCTCTTGGAGCACGAAGTCTTTCGAGCTCCAAGAAATTTCTTTAGTTGATCCCGCCTTTGCCTTTCTTTCTCCAACGGATTCATACCATTCCTCCGAATGTAGCAGTGTTCCCTGTTGATTAATTGCGTTGCTCTAATGGCTATTGGGACATCTGAATAGAGGTACGTTGCTGTAAATGTCATTCGCTTTCTATGATTTTCTTGCATTTAAACTGCAACTTTGAGTTTAATAAGAAAAGGCTGGCATTTTTTCACCATATTTAAATTTCTGACAGGAAATAGTTTACCAATTATACACTTACAGTTCAAAAGTTTAAGAAGCATAGATAAGGATGAAAAATAGAAACCCATTTTGATTGTGGCATTTTCACAGTAATTTGATGGTCGATCAATAATGTGGTAAAAAAAAAAAGTCAGATGAATGTGTAAGAATATTTGATTGAAAGACCGAATATGAACATTTGATTGAAAGACCGAATATGAACACTGAAGATTTTACTAATGTGGATGAGAAAAAAATGAAATCATACTACATTCAGATCATTATTATTTTCAACATTGTACTCTGCGTTCTCTTGAATAAGTATATAAGTGAACAAAAACTGCTTTATGGATATGGTAATAGAAAAAATATTTCTATGATTTTGGCCATCTATTGGTGTCCCGGATGGAGTAGCTATCCTGCTTATTTGAGTTCTTTTATGACCATTTTTGTGTAGATTTTCTGCACTTCAATGAAATGGATGCATGCCCTTTTTTTCTTAGGGAATGTGAATGGAGGATTCATTGCAATATTGGTACAAGATTCTTCTTTCGGCATGTTTCACTTTGCTGTCATTCCACTCCATTTGCATTCCTAATGGAACTGAATGCATTGTGATACTGTGTTGCATTGCTTGTTCATTGTCTAAGGCTACATGCTATCATCGTCAGAACTTCTATCGTGCCGTATGTTGTATCGACTGAGTACTGGAAGTGATGCATTTACAGGAACTCTGAATGATCTACCGGCACCCACGGTTGTTTGTTCGTGCATCCTCCCGACATCTTTGCACACGTTATCCAATATGGAGAGGAAATCTCGTACAATCATGAAAATTCTCAAAGGATGGGCCTCCTCTTTTGCAGTGTCTCCATGGAAATACTCCGTCACCTCTTTCACCAAGGATAAGGCTTTTCTTTCTTCTGCCTTAATCCTGGTGATTTCTTCTTCAGCCTCTTTGAGAAACATTTTCATAGAATCGAAAAAGTTACTTTGTATACTTTGCTTTTCATGTTGCAAAATCAACTTGACTTTCTCAAGACCCGTTTCAAGCTTGGAGACATAGCTACTCAAGACATCTGAGTCCATTCCTGCTGCCTTTTTGACATTGCCGAGCTCTTTGCTTAACCCTGCTACGACTTGCAATCCTTGCTTCTTAAAATCCTCATCTTTAAATCTGAAATCCGTTTTATGCGGGAGGCTTTCGATTATAGGATCAGAACTCGCTCCTTCGGACCTGATGATCTCTTGGACTACAAAATGAAGTAAGGTTGTCTTACCATCTGTTCCCTTTATGTCCACTAATTTCAACAAAGTATCAAGTTTAAAAGCTCTGGCATCCCCACGGTTTGTACCAACATTCATGCGGTTTCCTGTCCTTAGAACAGCTTCAAGGAGTTTAAGAAACAGACGACTATTTTTCAATTCTTCACTTGCTTCCTGTATTATGTGACAAGCTATATGTAAGAAACTTCATTTAATGAAAGGTTAACTGAGATTTCCGGGTGCACTAGAATAAATGTAATTAACAAAATCACTCTATCAATTATCAAAGCCTTATCAAAATAGTTGCCATGTTAAAACAGTTGACAGTACCTCTAGCGTTTGAAATGAATTTCTCAAGTATTTTACTTCTGTAGTGAAGTTTGCTCTGTATAGCATAGCCTCCACTCTTTTAAAAGCAAATGGAATATCTAGTATTGCCTTGAGGAATCGCTCTGCTGTCCCTAACTTAGAGCTGTCGCCGCCATAGTCTTTAAGTTTTATTTCTTCCTCCTTGGTCGGTGCCATCTTCACTAAAGTCTCCAGAAGCTCAGAACCCAATCCTTCTGGATTTCCTGCAAGGCCATAACATATATGTGAATGGAAAAGAACTATGTCACAGAGAAGTTATAACTAGTGATCAGCAGTATTTCAGTGGCTTTTGCATCATATACTGATGTCTGACATTCCAAGTGTGTGTTTGGTACGTAGTGCATAATGAACAAACATTATAAGAAACGGGATTCTAACTTCTTTTTCTTCCTTAACACTCTCCAGTATTATTCTATCATTCCTATCAATCATACAATAGGTGTATTCACATTGCATGTCTATTATGCATAACACTTCTAAGTATGCTGAAGTGGCAAATATCGTGGCTCTCACTTGACTCATTTTTTGAACTAGTCGGGTGAGAGGATGAAGTATGCTTCTGAAGTTGGTTTTTAAGAGCTATTTATCTTTTCACAATCAAGATGCAAATTTTTACCAGTATACGCAGTTTGCAATCTATGTTTGGGTATCATACAATTATATGCCCAACATTCTACTGTTATCCTTGATTGCCTCCGAACAAAAAGGGGATAGAATCAAACCCACCCTCACTCATGCAAAGGAGCCTTCTCTGTCATTTTTTAACCATTATTTTTAATCATTGTAAATTACTAACTTGAATTAGATAATTATCAGCTGCCCTTTGACTTGCACTTGCAGTGTCATATTATTTTTATCGTTCTGACTTCGTAACCTCACTGTAAAATTAAGGGGGACAGAGTATGCTACTCGCTGTAATCTTAATTGCTGATTAATGAAATATTTGCCTATCACTTCGTATATTTTGCCAGTTAATCTGTAATGAAGAACCTTCCTCCAAATAATGAAGTTTTTTTTAGCTTAGGGGGTTTCTTTTGGGTGGGCAAGGAGAGAGGTAATAACATAGCCATAAATTATATTGGAGAACTCTCAAGAAAAAAAGTCGAGAGGCCAGGCATGAATTAGAATGTTCTGCGCCAAGTAGAAGGTCATAGAATATAAATATTTGCGTGCATCCACCCATTTTCCTTTTGTGAATAGACTTTTATGTAGTACTTGATCAAATGGATGTTATTCATAGCTTTGTTACCCAAGTCTGTTTGAATTGTCTATAAATTCATTACCTATGCATATGTCTTTGTATAGATAAAGCAAATTATTATTATTATTATTATTATTATTATTATTATTATTATTATTATTATTTTTATTTTATTTTATTTTATTTTTTTATTTTATTTTTTTTCTGCAGAAAATCGTGGAATAACTTGAATTCGCTTTTATGAATATGCTCTTGTGTAAATACTTGATCAAATGCTGTTATTCGTATTTTTGTCACTCAGTTCCATATTAATTATCTATCAAATTTATCACTTTGTATAGAGAAAACAAATTAGACTGGTTTCTACTGAAATTTTCGAATAACCTGAATTCACTTTTCATTTGCTGGAAATGATGAGAAGCTTTACGTACCATCCAAAAGTGATTCAACAACCTCGTCTCTTGTGACATTCAATGCTCGTAACATTATAGCAATGTTCTGTGACTTCTTTGGATCTAGTACTTTGTTCTCCTGTTCTAAAGGTGGAAGGACTGACTTCCTAGTTGATTCTTTAGTTACTGAATTTGCAGAATTGCATCCAAAAAGTGTCTCCATGGCATCCTCATTTAACCTGCAAGATAAGAATTCCTTAATAAGAATCTGGACACCATCATTATTAAAGAATGTATAGCATTCTACTTACTGGAAGGAGCTTGACTTTATGCGGTCCCAAACCGTTGCTCGGTCTGAGGTTGCTCTTACTTTGTCCCAGTGCAAAGGCTTCAACTTGGGTTTTGATCCATCCTTGTCATCATCATCAAATTTCCTTGATGTAATGACACCTTTATTAACTTCTTTAGCTGGGCTTCTCCTCTCAGTCCCTGGGCTTGACTTTGGGCTGGAACTTTTTGATTGTGGTCTAATTGGTGGTTTAGAAACAGGTGGTATATTTGTTTCCACAGTCCCCAACTTTCTTGGTGTCTGCAAAGGCGGCGGCGGCGGTGGTGGAGGTGGAGGTGGAGGTGGCATTGGGAACTTAGATGCTTGCTGCTCTTCGTCATTCATTGATTGAAACCGTGCCATATTTGGTGGTGGTGGCGGCACTGAAAATTTAGCCCGTTTAGGAATATTAGGCAGTGCTGGTCTACTAGCCTGCAGTGGCCCTAAAGGACTAGTTGCAGTTGGTGCTGGAGGAGAAGGCAGCGTTGATTGTTTGATTGGTGGTATGATTGGATATTTACTATCAGGAGATGAGGCAGAAAGACGAGATTTCGGTGAAGTTCTTTTGGAATGGGGGACAGAAGAAGCAACACGACTATCCGACCTGGCCTGGTTCATCTGGCCAGTATTTTTGCTTGAGTAGAAATGCCGTGAACTTGGGGACTCATTGCTCATAGACGAGCCTTGCGGAGTGTAAAAATTTGTGTCATGGCTTTCATCGTCCGAGGATGACATGGGGGGTGGTGAATTTATGCTAGGAGGCAGTGGGGGTTTGGTAAGTGGTGGCAGCGGCTGAAGGTCGGGGCTTGGCCTATATCGATCTGATATTTTTCCTGAATTCAATTTTCTATAAGGTGAACCATTGACACCATTGGTATCAGTACTCACTGCTGTACCTCTGGTGGATGGCTCCACAGTCCCAATGTACAAAAAAGTGGATGGTGGAATTCTTGATTCTTCATTAGTCCTTTGTGAATTGCTACCAACGAGTTTTTGGGACTCATCAGGGTGTCTCACTCGGTGCTTGTACAAATAGAATGCTAAAGCTGACAACATTCCTAATGCCACAGTTCCAACTGATATTGCAATTGCCACTTTCTTGATCGGCTTAGTTGCTGCCTGCTGATTGGTAACTGGATTTGCCACAGGTATGCCATTGGCTGGTGCAGGAGGAGACTGTTGGACCTGATCTGGCGTCGGCCCAGTTTCGTGGAAGAAAGGCTGGTCTTGGTCCGGTGTGGCTGGCAGCGATGGGGGTGGCGGAGGCGGCGGTGACGGCAATAATTCAGATTGAGGAGGTGGTGGTGCTGAACTAGCTGGAAACAATGGCTGATGCAGAATTCTCCTGTTTTCACCAAGTGAATCTTGAATTCTAGGATCTTCACCTATTGCAAATTCAAGCCTGGAGGATGTAGCCAATGATAGGATCAAGAAAATGCTAAAAATATGAGTCCTCATCGTGCTGTTTTCTTGGTATGCTCTCTTATGTTCCTTTCTTTCAGGCTATTCATCCCTGTAATCAAGATTGAGAGAGAGAGAGAGAGAGAGAGAGAGAGAGAGAGAGAGACACTGTAAAGAGAAGCTTCCGTGAGCTGCAAGATCTAGATGCTCTGAATGGACGATCCACAAGCAGTAGCTAGCTGCACTTTTTCATTTTAATATTATTTTAAAAGTTTTTAAATATTAATATTATAAAGATTAGTTGTATGTAAAATATAAGGGAATTATTATGACTACTCTACCATTTTCACAGGGGAAATTGCTCAATTAGTCCCTCACATATGAATTTTGTTGCAATTTCATCCTCAACATTTTTTGGCGCTGGATTCTGCAATAAATCCTTTTTCCAGTGTTGATGGAGGATGTGTTATGCCATTGACATTGAAAATTTAATTACTTTACTGAAAAGATGTTTAGTGCCTGTTTGAGCCCCCTTTTTTTGCACAAAATCATTTTCGAATAGTATTTTGATGGAGAATGTGTGATAAAAATTGAGGAAAAATTTAGGGATTATGTATAATATTATTTTATTAAAGAATGTGTGGTTGAAAATAAAAGAGAAAAATGGATTTTAGAAAAATAAGAACCAATCAAGGGCTTATTCTCCATTTTTGTTACAATATCTAAAAATAAAAATAAAAAAATGTCACAAAACCCCATCCCTAGCCTGCCTTGACCTCCTTTACTATCCCCACATGACCCCATGTCATGTCAAATTGGAGAATATTCATCCTTTCATTGTGTATGTAAGACTCGCAGTTCGTCGCTCGATGGAGGAAAATTAATATGTTGACAATAGTGGCATCAAAGATAAGTTAAAAGGACACAACAACAATATAATCAATAGATTGGGGACTATCAGAGCAAATTCCCCATTTTTCCATTGTGTTGTGACTTGTGAGGTTGATTGAGGATGAAATGTGAAATAATTGGACGTAGTGGTTGGGATAAAAAGACCACGTTAGTCTTTAAGAACAAATTTTATTATATTTTGCTTTTTGAGGTTGCAAGGGGCGGTGGGTCACATATTCCTTAGTTCTGTTATTGCGGCCAATCAATTAAATTCTCTCATTTCCCTTTATATATATATATATATATATATATAAAGGGAAATGAGAGAATTTAATTGATTGGCCGCAATAACAGAACTAAGGAATATGTGACCCACCGCCCCTTGCAACCTCAAAAAGCAAAATATATATATATATATATATATATATATCAGAAATCACGTTTGTATCACTACCAACACTTAAAAAACATTTTAAATGAACTCTTCGTGACTTTAATATACATGATTTTTTTTTATGTAACGATATAATTATATCGCACGTCGCTAATTGGTCGTGAAAAGTTTGTCTTATAGGTTTATAAACACTTACCCCTTCACCAATATTAAAACACTAATTCAAGTGACGTTAAGTGACAGACTCAATAAAAAGTAAAATTAAATTATTTATTTAATCATACTTCTCATTTAATATCACATCAGTGCCATCTATACTGGTATTTTAACACCAATGGTACTGAATAGTTATATTCTATTATAATTGTTTTTCTGCGTCGTAAATGGGGTGATCAGAAATGGCTTCTTTTGATAGAAGATTGGTTATTAAAAAATAGGTCATTATAAATGTCAATTCTCGAAGATGTGTAAAATGTAATGATCGAATTGTATCTCATATTATTCGTGAATTGGTTGTCTTGTGACCTTATAATAAACACTTTGAGAATCCTCTTGACATGAAAAAAAAGATAAAATCAATTTCTAAATAGTTATCTTGTCAAATATTTTATTGGAACACCAAACCTCGAAAAGCATATGCTTTTAGCTTTTGATTTCTTTTGATTACCAATATTCATTCTAGTGGGAATGACTCCACACACCAAAAGACACCAATATCCTTTTCACTACTTTATTTAAAGATAAAAAGATTTCTCTAGATCTACACATCAAATATTCTTCATTTTTTTTAAATGCAAATATTCATGTCCAAATCTTGAGAAGCTCAACATATATAAAATGGGATATTCTACTTTATTTTTTTCTTAATAACAAAGCAATTCATATAAACTAATTGAAGTATCGTTTAGGTGTGCAGTTTGAGCTTGACCTTGTCGTCGGGTCATTCTTTACGCTTCCTTTTGTTTTTGTTTTTTCTAAACGTCTATACCATTTAGACTTTTAAAAGATTGAACCTTGATTTTGTTGCCTAATTATACTTCACACATTTTACAACACTGCGTTGAATGAAGAACTAATAAAATTTCATTTCACTCGATTTTGTGATTGAGAATGGATTTTCGGCCGACCATTATATGTCATTGCCGGTTCAATCCGGTTCATATAACCCATTAACCTCACCTTTGGAAGATGATTATCAGCAACAAACATCATAATTGATTCATTTCGTACACAAAAAGACAATCCTTATTCTGTTATATATTGGAGATATTCCCTCTACGTGACCTAACATTAATCAATTGATTCTACATACATCCACTTAATAATGAAAATTATAATTATTTTTGCCTAAAATAATGATATATTTCGGGTTGTTTGCTTATTGCTAATGTGTTGTTGATAGAGTGGAAATAAATTTCTTTATAAGTTAATCCTAATTAATGATTAACAAATTATTTATCCTTTTTTCTTAAGTAAAGTTTTGTTGACACTTGAATATGAATCATTGGCGTATATTTGGTAATATGATCTCGATCATGCTACACGATGTCAATAAAAAAAAATTAAAAAATTTATTGAAAAATGTGTGGTTGAAATGATGTCAAAACACTATTTAAAAATGCATTTTTTTCAAAGAATGGGAATCAAACAGGGGCTTATTATACTGTCTAATTCTGTATATAATATTATTATCCACGAATAAAAGACTACCCTTATGCTTGAAAAGCTTAGAAATATTCCATTTTCATGTAGCACGGCAAGCACAG